AGCAACTCTCCCACCTCAACCTCCTCAGTAGCTGGGACTACAGGCATGCATCACATCTGGCTAATTTTTAAATTTTTTTTGTAGAAACAGAGACTCACCTTGTTGCCCAGGGTGCTCTCAAACTCCTAACCTCCAACGATCCTCCCACCTCCGCCTCCCCAAGTGGCTGATACCTCTCCAAGTGGCTCATACCTCCCCAAGTGGCTCATACCTCCCCAAGTGGCTCATACCTCCCCAAATGGTTCATACCACGCCCAGCCTCTAACACTATATAAAGGGAAAGTAGAGCTCTCCACAGAGCCTAATTTACAATCAGTTGTGCTGGTAATAGTGAATAGTAATGAAAAAGGAATGAATGATGATATTATTGATCAGTCTTTTGTTTCTGAAGGCATCTTTTATTATGGAAATGGTCACACGTACACAAAGTAGAGAGCACAGTGTCATGAGCCCCGCTCACCACCCTGCTCCCACAGTTAGCAGCATCTGCCTAACCTTGGGTCACTTCCTCCTCCCGCAGCCTCCCCACCTCCCCCAACACACATTACCCACCCCCTGCAGCAAGCTGGGTTACTTTAAAGCAAATCCAAGATGCCATAACATTTCAGCCATAAACATTTATATCTTTAAGAGATATCTCCAAGAGATAAGATCTCTTTTTTTAAACGTAACTACCATTATCACACCAAAAAAAATTAACAGTAATTCCCAAATATCATCAAATACACACAGTCAGCGTTCACATTTCCCCAAATTGCTCTCTCTCTTTTCATGGATTGGAAGAATCAGTATTTTTGGGTTTTATTTGATTTTTAAAAATTATCTCGTAAATGTCTTTTTAACAAGTGGTTTATTTGAATCTGATTCAAACGAAGTCCAGCATTGTACTTGCTTAATATGTCTCCTATATTGCTTCATCTATAACAGTTCTTCCCTCCCCTTGGTTTTTTTGTCTTTTGTTTTAGATACAGAGTTTCGCTCTTGTTACCCAGGCTAGAGTGCAGTGGCGTGATCTAAGCTCATCGCAACCTCCGCCTCCCAGGTTCAAATGATTCTCCTGCCTCAGCCTCCCAAGTAGCTGGAATTACAGGAGCCTGCCACCATGCCTGGCTAATTTCTGTATTTTTAGTAAAGATGGGGTTTCACCATGTTGGCCAGGCCGGTCTCGAACCCCTGACCTCAGGTTATCCGCCCGCTTTGGCCCCCCAAAGTGCTAGGATTACAGGCATGAGCCACCTCGGCCGGCCGCTCCTCTTGTTTTTTGCCTGTCACGTATTTGTTTTGTTGGAAACCCGAGACATTGGTCCTATAAACCTCACTTTATTCTGGATTTTGCTGACTGCATCCCCATGGGGTTTGCTTATTTGTTTGTTTGAGATGAAGTCTTGCTCCGTCACCCAGGCTGGAGTGTAGTGGCGGGTCACGGCTCACTGCAGGCTCAACCTCCCAGACTTAAGCAATCCTCCAGCCTCAGCCTCCCAAATAGCTAGGACTACAGGCACTGTCTCTTATACACATCTAGATGTGTATAAGAGACAGGATTACAGGCATGAGCCACCGCACCCAGCCAGCCCTTTTAAGTTTGAGCCCTTTAACAGGATCTAAATCTGGTGCTCAGGATAAAATGTTGCCTCTGGTGCTTTCTTCCCAAAATTACGGTATTACAGAGGCGTTCTTAATGTTCCCTCTTCAAATCAGAAACAGTAAGTTGAAATTGCCTTCAACTTACTGTTGATGGCAATTCAGGCCCAGATGCCAGTATTAGAGAACATATATTGAAGAACTGAATATGTAAGTAAACCACCATTTCCCTATACAAGTAAATGCATAGGATACTGCCAGTCATTACATATTGAGTCTAGCACAATGTATGAAGCATAAAAATTCAGTGCCACTGGTTTTTAAACAGCTGTTTCCCCCAGAGAAAGGGCAACTTCTGGCCTGCACCAGTAAAATAGCAACCTTTTTACATTACTTTGCATAAAGATTTACAAGTGTCCCAGGACCTGGGAAGCCAGTCTATAACAAGACGGCCTCCAGGGACTTCGCTTTCCTTCTCCACGGTGATCAGCGACACACAGATAGCCACTGTGTGTCGGCGAGCTGGTCTGCTACGTCAGCCCAGGTTTAAAATCCAGGCTTACTTTCGGTTAACGAATCGTACATGGATGGGCCCCCCTGGCGTCAGGAGCCCGTGGGTTTTTGCGTGAACGGCTTTAGTCTGAGAAGATGTTTTGATCTCAAAATGTTGAAGCAACTAAGAAGAGAAAGAGAGAGAAGGGGTCAGAATTGGAACAGCAGAAAATTCTCAGTGTTCCCTGAATGCTTTTACTCTTCCTGTGGCGGCACCGGGCTGCAGGGAGCCCAGGCAAGCAGCACCCACATCCAGCTTTTGGAGACTACAGAACCTCTGGGTGAGCGGGAGGCCCGCTGTTTGGAAACAGAATTCATGTCCACTGAGCAGCTGTGCAGCCGTGGGACAGAGATACAGGCAGATGCTCAGATGACTTAAGTTTCATTTGCCATTTCAAATTCTAACTCTGTTGCTTCCACTGCAGGTCTAGATGAAGAAGGCGTCAAAGGAGCAGGGGGAAATGCAGAACAAAGAGAAATTCCGGGTTTCCTGCTGGTTCTGAATCTGCAGCCACTTCAGACCCGGCCAGAAACAGAGGCGGAGAGAGCTGAATCCTCCAAAAGACTTCATCGTGCTAACATCCTGAATTTAAATATTCTTGGTTCGTACCTTTGATTCAATTTCTCATTTCTACAGTTCAAAAGCAGAACCAGCCCTGCCTCCCAGGATAAAACTGGAACGTACCTACATGGTGAGTTTGAAAGAACACCAAAGTATCCATCACCCTAAAGCGATTATCTCCCCCACCGGCCGGCCAGGGCTTGATGTTCAAAGTCAGCCCTGGGCTTAGGAATACAGGTAACCTGCTCTAAAGACTTCTGTCCACGGACAGGCTCCTGGGGGCAGGGAGGCCTTGCTTTCAGACCATTTGGACAGGGCAGGGGGCAGATGAGCTGGTGACACCATAGTCTCCTACTCCTACTTAAGACCCAGGCAGTCCCCACCCTGCCCTTCCTCTCTCTCCAGTTTTGTCTCCCAGGCAAAGAAGCTGCAGCCAGGATGGGCTAGCGCTCCAGGCTGGAGTACCATGGTGTGATCACGGCTCTCTGCAGCCTCAACCTCCTGGGCTCAAGTGATCCTCCCACCTCAGCCTCCTCAGTAGCTGGGACTACAGGCATGCATCACATCTGGCTAATTTTTTTTTATTTTTTTGTAGAAACAGAGACTCGTTTTGTTGCCCAGGCTGGTCCCGAACTCCTAACCTCCAACGATCTTCCCACCTCCGCCTCCCCAAGGGCTGGGATTATAGGTGTGAGCCACCACGCCCGGCCTCTAACACTATTAGAAGGGGACGTAGAGCTCTCCGCAGAGCCTAATTTACAATCAGTTGTGCTGGTAATAGTGAATAGTAACGAAAAAGGAATGAATGATGAGATTGTTGATCTTGGTTCGTACCTTTGATTCCATTTCTCATTTCTATAGTTCAAAAGCAGAAGCAGACCTGCCTCCCAGGGTAAAACTGGAATGTACCTGCACGGTGAGTTTGAAAGAACACCAAAGTATCCATCGCCCTAAAGCGACCATCTCTTTAAGATAATCTCTTTAAGATATCTCTTTTAAGATAATTAAGAGTCAGGCAGGGCACCAGGGCTCAAGGGTCAAGGCTTGCAATGGGGACGCAGGCGTAACTCACGCCTTCGTCACTATTAAAGAAATGAGCTGAACAGCATGTCCTCAGGCAGCTCCATCACGTGCTGGCATCTGGGTGAATCAGCCTAAACACCCAACCTCTGACCCCTCGCGCTGACCTCTCAGAAACGCCCGCTCATTCCCGTGTGGTAGAGGGAAGACTCATATGTGGGTCTCCTAACATCAAGGCCAACGTGCCACACAGTATTTTTTTCTTTTCTGAGTGGTTTGTTTGTTGAAAATATTAAAGCTATGCAGGAGACAAAAGACAAAAAACACTGCTTCCCCCTGACCTGCCCCCACCACATCCAGTTTCCAGCTCCCAGGGAGCTGGGGTGGATCTTCCAAACATGCTCCTGTTCCATCAAGTATCTTTTTCCTCATTTTAAGGGAACATATGAATATCACACCATGAAAGCTGTCCCCTTCCTTCCCAGTAGCCTTCAGGCATGTTCCCTGTACTGTTGAGGCGGACGCCATTTGTTCGGTTAAGAAAGGCCCCCCTGTTGGGAATTGAACAATGAGAACACATGGACACAGAGAGGGGAACATCACACACCGGGGCCTGTCGGGGGGTGGAGGGAAGAGGAGGGAGAGCGTTAGGACAAATACCTAATGCATCAGGGGCTTAAAACCTAGAGGACAGGTTGATGGGTGCAGCAAACCACCATGGCACATGCATACCTATGTAATAAACCTGCACGTTCTGCACATGTATCCCAGAACTTAAAGAAAAATTTTTAAAAAAAGAAAAAAAGAAAAGAAAAGAAAGGCCCCACTGTTGTTCCTGTGCTAAGAGACTTTCTTCATTAATTGGGGTTGAGTTTTATCCATTATCTTTTGGGACGCTCGTGTAATTTTTCTCCTTCTTATTGTGGTGAATTCTACTGACAGATTTTCTCTAGGCAGACCATCCTTGCATTCCTGAATACACCTGATGGGTGAAGATGCCTTTCTATTTTATACATTCAGCCTGCCAACTGTTCATGTTGCATATTTTTCATCTTCAATGATTAATCAGTCAGGCTGGGCTGTAGTTTTTATCTTCCATATCATCCTTTCCAGGTTTGAATGTCAAGGTTATGCAAGTCTCACAAAATGAGACTTCCTTTTTCTATTCTCTACTTATATAAGACGATGATTACCTGCTCCCTGAAGTTCTGATAAAACTTGTCAATAATCCTGTCTAGATTCAGGACATTTTAGGGGTAAATCTTTTTACCACTGACTCATTTCTTTGATCTGTTCTCACTGATTGGATATTTTAGGTCTGTTCTCTTTCATTTGAGTCCATTTGGATGACTTATATTTTTTCTAGCAAATAGTATGCTTTATCTAAGTCTTCAAATTCATTGGCAAAAAACTGTTAGAGGTATTTTCTTGATTAACAAAAAAATCATCTCCTGCCTATACGGTTGTGCCTCCCTGCTCATTCCTCGTA